ATGAAATAAATGAAATAAATGAAATAAATGAAATAAATGAAATAAATAAAATAAATAAAATAAATAAATATTATCACTCACTGGCTAGCAGGAAGCTCATTGACGCTGAATACAGCTAAAATGAAATATATACCATTTTGTATTCAAAATATTCAAATTCTTGCTTAGATCTCGATTTATATGCCCATAAATGCTGTTTTTCCCCAGATTGGAAGAACATAAAACATTCGGTATCTCGGAATCACCATCGACCAAAATCTCTCCTACCCGCATATACAGAGTTTGTCATAAAAAATTCGGAAGCTTATTTTTGTTTTCAAACAGCTATAATATATTGCTGATTTCAAAATTTTAAGAAATATATATCTGGCACTGGTACAATCATTACTTACCTACTGTATTACTTCTCGGGGTGGAGCTGCTAAAAATAACTTAATTATATTGAAGCGAGCTCAAATATGTTTATTGAAAGTTGCACTCTGCAAATCTCGACTATTTCCTACATCCCAACTGTACCCGGAAACGAATGTGCTATCAGCTTTATCTGCTCTCAACTTAAATTCGTCTACACGCAATCACTCCCCTTCTAGAGCCCCTTTCATATCTGGCAACCGAAGACTTTTTACTAGTTCTGAACACAATAGCATTAACACCTCGTTTGCACAAAACAATCTATTTTAGAGGTAGTCATTTATACAACAATTTGTTAGATAAGAAACTTAATATTGTTCCCCTGACTAAACAGGATGCAAAAGAAGTAATCACAAAATGTTTATCGAGTTCTTAGGTTTTTGCGATTGTTACACATAGAAAATGAAACTATTCGGATCTAATATATATCCGGATTTAAATATCATATATTTGGTTTTTCAAACAAACCAACGTTTCGGGCCCTTTACAGGTTCCATGGTCACGGTTGACTGTGACCATCGTGTCGTGTTACTTTAAAATCAAACTTGGACTTCCTAGTTCAGTTCTTCCTACGATGCAGTAAAACCATTTCCGGACATCCGGAATTCGAAACAGTAATTAATTAATATGTGGCGGTTTTAACAACTCTATGTCGCTCCTTGTAGTTACATTATATGTGAAACACCTTTTTCCGACCATTCCGACCGACAAGAATGAGCTTGTATACTAAAGCTCATTCTTATACGAGCACACACGCACAAACACACGCGCACGCGCACGCGCACGCACACGCACACGCACACGCACACGCTCACGCTCACGCACTCGCACTCGCACTCGCACACGCACACGCACACGCACACGCTCACGCTCACACTCACACTCACACACATACACTCACACGCACACGCTCATGCACTTACGCCGCGTACGCTTGGTTTAGTCTCGCAGTCTCTTACATAATGTAGAACAAAAAATTATATATATGCTTCTTACTTCTTACTTACTACTTTATGGAAATTGACGATGGGGTCCAGTATGTAAATTGCACACCTAAATGCCTATTCACTCTCGCCTTGAAGTCTCTTGTAAAGTAGGTCAATTACCTCTGATATATCTCTAATAACTCAATCGTAGGTCATCTATTTCTTCAAAAATGATATTTCGAAAAAATGTGCTTCCGTGCCCGTGGACCGCTTGACTGGTCCACTTGGATTGTTTGCAGTACAGTTTAGTTAGTAAATGATGTAAACATGAAACAAGTTGGTAGAAAACATAATACAAAAAAAAAAAACAGTTGTTACAGGGGATTTTTGCTCTCAAGATCATACTCATACAAGATTTTCGCAAATGCCGTCTTCTTCGGGCTTATCAACTGAAAGAGATAAGTACATTGATAACAAAAGTTCAATACGATACATATTTCATAAGTATCCTTAGGGAATGAAACCATTTTTCAGATCTAATTACGTATATATTTTTTGTTTTTTCATACAAACCAAGGTTTCGGGCCTTTCAGACTGGTTTCATTGCTGTGAGTACGGTCCGTACGGTGCGTGGTCTGTCCGCCTACGGGCTATCCGCATGTGTAAAATCCGCTAAGAACTCGATAACTAGATACACTTGTTGGATAGAGTTCATCGGTTTACGCGACTGCTCGACATTGAAAATTTAAATATTTTTTCGGACCTACTCGTAAATCGCGTGTCTTTATTTTTCAAAGAAACCCAAGGTACGTTCATGACTTAGTAATCACAGTGTAAAAACATTCCTTGCTACAATCCCCTAGGAGATGTGGATTTTCTGTCCACATGGATTCTCTGGAGGATTTATTTGGATTTTTTAGTCCACATGGATCCCTTATTGTGTTATCTTGACTTTGGGTTACTCTGTGAGTACATCTAATGCCTGCCAATTTTGATCAGCTTGACTTCTGACAGCTGATTTCCTACGAGGCATCTATCCCTTATTCCTAAACAATGAATGAGAGATAATTCAAGTCATAATGAGTACGGAATTTATTGACATAAATTATCTTATTTCATTAGTTCAAGAAAGACCTCCTTTATGGTATAAAGCAAATGAAGATTACTGTAATAAATTCCGTAAAGCAAATGAGTGGGTAGCAGTTTATAAGCTTTAATGCCCAGAACGATGATTTTGACGGCATAAAAAAGAATAAAATTGATAACATTTACTTTATTTACATTGACTGCTTTAAGGCCTGCTCAGTTATAAGCGATGTTCTGCTGTTGGTATACTAAACTGACAATGAAATCCTAACAGCAATAGAAGAGAGTAAACAAAAACTATTAACAGAGCAATGTCCAACGCACCTAGTGTGTGCGTATCAGGATATGATTATACATTTAGAAGATAAAGATCTAAATTTCGGTAAATATAAATCTATAAAGAGTGGCTGGTACAATTTCAGAAACAAAAATGCAAGTGTCAAAAAAACTTGTTTGAAATCTGCTGGAGAAGTAGAAATACCACTTTTTTATGTTTTGATTTTGTATAATAGGTATATATTTAGTAGGAGCACGAATTCGAACGTATCTAAATAAAGTGAATTAAAAACAAGAAAACACATTGTATTATTACCCTTTACACTTTAATCCAACTGAATCCCCTAGTGGATTCTGTTTTCATCCTTATTAATAAGGGATCCATGTGTCCACATGTGGAGTTATTGTCCAATAACTCCACATTAATCCCCAAGTGATGGTAGTAAGGGATTCAAATGGACGGAGTGGTAAAAACTAATATAAGCGATTTAAATCCGAAACATAGTTTAATTTCCAATACACGACCGTTTCGTCATGCTCCTACCAATATTCCTACATTAAATCCAAAATCTTGACACGTGCTCTTGACTGGACTGTAAATAGGTACATTTGTAATAAAAAAGATCCGAAGCTCAAAAAAGCTCAGAAAGAAAACCACGAATCTGTACTTTAATTACTATATTCACTTAATAATAAAATTATTTACAAAAGTGTATCCGCAAAATTACTACTAAATTTTTAATTCATAATACCGTTATAGGCAATATCATACTTAGGTATGTAGGTAGCGAATTTAAGTATTTAAATAACGACAATTTACCATCTTTACAAAAGAAAAACAATTTTGGACACCTATTGGCAGTAACGCTCGTCTCTTTTAACTTGTTAAGTTACTCCAATGTTTCATGGGTAAGGACATTATAGTCAATTTAACCAAGTTGTCTGGCAAATTGCTTTATCATGTAAAACTAAATCAACTATTCGATTTGGTATAAGATCATGGCATTTATTCTATCACTATCAACTATGGTTCCACGTGATCACATCGATACCTCCAATGAAGACTACGCCAACTTAATTTTTGGACTTGTTCTGTTTTTTGTTTCTGTACTTTTTTCACAAAATTCGTTTATTTTCGAATTTTGTTCTTTGGTTCCTTATTTTTATTTACAAAATTTGGGGAGCATAATATTAGTAAATAAATATGGCTGTTTACAAAAATAACAGATAATGACCAAAAAATAAAATTGGCGTAGTGTTCATTGGAGGTATCGCCATTATATTACACAATACAATTTGATAGAACAGATACACCGATAGGAAACAATAAAAGCCAGCATAAGGTACCTACATAGTTCTGTTGATCAATTTCGCAAGATGCGATAATACTTTACCTATCATGCGTACCTTACCTAACAGAAATAGGTACACATTCTAGGTACTTACTGCATAGTTTTTGTACTAGCTAAGCCAGACGGGGTCCATATTCTAACAATTTGCACCGTGATGAAATGGTTTATAATTCTTCGTGTGTTGCGGGGTTGTTATCACTAATGTAATAAGCTATTGATGGCTTTGGTGTGCCGGAATCGGCTGCAGCTAAAGCTAGGTACCGAGCTCTAAGGTGATGAGCTGACGCTTTGGGCTCTCTCGCCCTTGTAAAGATGCCTTTCTTGTTGCCGCCTACTCTGGTTATGGCTGTTGAAAGAGAAAAATAATGCATAAGTAAGTAGCTACTCGTCACCAAATTGTCAATAACTAGAAAATAAAACAGTTATATCTCTTTGCAGTTGAAATGTTAAGGAGTTTTAATACCAAGGTGACTTACGAGAAAAGAAAAATCGCCAGGTAACTTAGGAGAGGTAAGGGAAGAATTTAATGTCCATGGTCCACACAGGGGACGTAGGTGGACTACGGGAAGAAATAATCCATCAACCCACGCCCCACCACTGTGTGGTGGTCCCATGGATATCTAAGAGCCATTGCGTCATGCGAGTTGGGGACTTCGTACGTTATCAAAGAGTTTGCATCACGATATTATTCTTCATCAATAAATTAAAACTTTAAAACGATTGCACATACGGATTTTGTTGAATATCACGAAACGTTTTCCTACCATGATATTCAATTATTTTCTTGCCCTGGAATCAGTATACTGTCAGATCGAAGGAATATTTCATTTGTCAGAGGAAGGATTTCTTTGTGTTCGATCTTTGTATTAATAATTAAATTGCACATGTTCCGAAACGACACACAGGTGGTCCACCCGATGGGAATCGAATCCACGGATGCTTCCGTAGGAGGCAAGCTTTTCTTCCAGGCTACTATTGGTAGTAAGTACCTACTGCTATTATAATATTATGTTTGTAGTTAATAAATGTATTGTTGTAAAGGCAAAACCAAAGTTTAATTCTAGTAAAACCTAGTTAACACTTGTTGCTTATGTCCATGTTGCCTAATGTACTGTTTACAGATGAGTGAAACTCACTTTGCGCAGTCTTGAAATCAGCAAAGTTCCAAATGAACTCTCCGGCAAAGAAGCCGGACTGCCGTAGTTTATCGAACGCCTTGAAATGCTCCGACATCAGCGCCAGCTGGAACTCCTCAGACCAGACGTACTCCGGCAACTAAGTCCGAAAGAGAAAGCTTGAAATATTTCATACGTAGACAGTAGGTTTTCAGTGAAAAAATAATGGTTAATAGATGAAAGAACAGTTTAAAAAGAGTATATTTTTGTATACTTGAAAATATAATGAGCGATATATGCGTATGGATTGATATAGAAAAATATATATACTGATATATTTTTGTATACTTGAAAATATAATGAGCGATATATGCGTATGGATTGATATAGAAAAATATATATACTGAAACATTGTTATCAATTTATTTGCAGCAAAATGTTAGAAAGGTTAAAAATGAATTTTGACAAAGTAATTAGAGATTAGAAAATTGATCAATTACTTCGTCATTACTTACATATTCGTATATTGTAGGTACATGAATTTTTTCGTAGTTAAGCATGCAATCAGGTTCTTCGAGACTGTCATTTCTGCTGAATACGTGTTCCTGGCAAATTCTAGACGTAACTCACCATATGTAACCCTGGCATTGTGTCAGCACCGTACTCCGACATTACAATGGGTTTTTCGAAGGCAGTGTACCAAGCTCGTGCTTCTCCTTCCACGTTGTGGGCAATGTCAAACAACAGGCCAGTGTCGTAGTACCAACCATTATAACGGTTGAAGAGAATAACATCTATGTGTCCAGCCTATCAATAGATTCAAAATGCAATATTGCAAGTACACAACTTTGAATCCCTAGTAGGTAACTAGATCTGGAAGCATCTAAATACTTTGATGCTGAACAGTCCATATTTCACCAGAATGATGAATGTTGTTTGATAAAAGAAACAAAGAATCTACACTTAGACGGTCAAAGGAGACGATGGCAAAACAACATGGATGGACAAAAAATGTATATTGGTAATGCTAACCAATGTCACCATTTGTTAGACGATGCGCCTACTTAATAATAGTAATTGCGACTTTAACAAAGTAATGACTCATAAGTAATACGTACCTAACACACAAAATAATGTTGAACTTAGCAAATCACATTTATATGTTAGTCAAATAATACTGATATTTACTTACTTTCAAGTAGTGGAAATATTTGGCAGATAGTAGGTATTAAAATCGCATCGACTACAGTGTGTGAAAATATGTGTATCTACTTACTTTAATCATTTGAATGTGACTTTATCCATGCAATATGGCCCGTCGATTAGTAATTGAATGCACTCATGTAGATCATTACTTATAGACGTAAAATTTCTCAATGTCATCAGCTACTTCATTGATTTTAGGTAGGTTAAGCAGAACAAGTGCAGATGTGAGCCGCCATTGTACACTTGGCTTCATGATTACGCTTGTGTCCATCTATATAAACTGGCTTAAAGAATAACGCTCACCAGATGCATCCCAGCAATGGTATCGGCACCGTACTCGGTCATGATGACAGGTTTGTTGTGTCCGTGAAACTGAGTGGCCTCCTCTACCACTTTCTGGACGATGTCATATAAAGCGCCTGTGTTTCTGTACCAACCGTTGTAGCGATTGAAGCAAATTACGTCTAAGTGCTGACCCTGGGAGTTCGTGAAAAATATGTGTAATAAGTTAAATACTAAGTTTCGAAAGAACACACAAACAATACCGGAATAAGATTGTAGATTTGCTACAAAGTAAATGAATAAATATTCAGGTAAAAAACTTAATAGGCAAGTAGAGGTAAATGATCATAAAAGTAATAGAAAAAATACGACTACAAAACAAAGACGTGATAAGTAACAAACGACAACCGACAACTACAAATTTAACAAAGCCAAAGAAATAGATACTACTAACGATAATCGAGAACTACTTAAAGATAGTCTAAGAACAAATTGACATGAAGCAAATAAACTCTAGAAATGAGACTAGAAATAATGCAAATAGACCATAAATAGACGCTAGAAATAACTCTGGCAACAAAACTCAATAAACCAAACTAAGTAATCATAGTTCTTACCGTTAATGATTTCTTGTAGAAAATTCTGTTGTACAGGTTTTCAGATAAATACATATATGTTGGTACTTACAGTGCTTAGACATTAGGTACTCTCCGCCTTAGCTCTTCAGTGAGTTATACAAGTCTATTAATAGTTCATACTCACTTGATCAAAACATAATGGAAGAGCCAATTTGTTTTTGGGGTCTCAAGTGGGATCCCATAATAAAAATTGTCTATATTAATGAGTGGAAACATCCTCACTCTGGTGCAACGCGATTAATACTCCGTGTACAAGAGTTTCACGGAGTACGAGCAGTACTTACCTCATGAAGACCTGCAAGTGTATCTGCTCCATACTCTAGCATGATGACAGGTTTGTTAAAAACGCGGTGCCACGCGAGTCCCTCATCTAACAGATTGTCGTATATCTTGTTTAACGACCCTGTGTTTATATACCAGCCGTTGTACCGGTTGAAACTTATCACGTCTAAGTGCTGACCCTGTGTTCAATCATTTGTTATAGAAAATACATTCTTTAAAAAATTGGACTGCATGCACAATAATTACTTCAGCAAGTTGAACTTTTTCGTGCTGAAAACTTAAAGAGTTTTAAAAAATTGTTTAAAAAAATATTAACTTCAACTGTTCATAAAAATAAATATTTAAATGCCTCTAGTGAATACCATATTTATACTTACAGCTTTGTCGTTGTTGTAGCCTTGTGAAATAGCAATTGTAACGGGTCTTGAAAGATCCATAGACTTAACATGTTTTACTACTTCCCTGTAACAAACACGAAAAGCTTTAAGTTTCAAGTATATTCACGGAACTAAATTAAGTGTATCTATAAGCACAGGACTTACGCGAAATAAAGATCTGCTTCCTTTTTGTACGATCGTGGTTCGTTGGAAATGGACCACATGATAACACTGGGATGATTCTTGTCTCGTCTTATCAATTCTGTTAGAGACTGTTTGTGCTTTAAGAGTAAAGAACTTGTGAAGAAGCTGTAAAGGTTAAAGGCCAGTGAATTATCAACCATGGAGCAAGAATCTTTAATGTTGACGATGTGGACATTATAGCGGTCCGTATTTCATTTTTTTATTATTTTATGGTTTCGTATTCTTTTAATCATTGTTGCTAATTAAAACATTTGGATGAAATAAAATCAAAGCCACAAGATAAGTAGCTTCGATTCTAGTTAAAATAGTATTTGAATGTGAACTTACTCTGTGTCTACACTTGGGCATTCGTCAATAACCATGATGCCATTCTCGTCGGCCATTTGGTAAATCTCTTCAGCGTATGGGTAATGTGATGTACGGAAAGCGTTGGCACCGACCCATTTGATTAGATTGAAATTCTTTACCCACAGAACTGGGTCCCAACCTTTGCCTCGCAACTAAAAAGTTTTAAGAAATTTTGAAGATAAGAAGGAAAATGAAATAAGTAACTATAAGTACACACAGGTCATTTTCGGTGGTTACGAGAATTGTGGTTTAAAGAAATATTTAACCTCTTTTACAACAGAAAAAGGACTTACATCAGAATCTTCATGCATGCCGAAACCTCGTAGATACAAGGGCTTTTCGTTCAAATATATCGTTTTATTGCTCCACGTTACTGTTCTGATGCCAATCTTTTGAGAGTAGGTGTCAATTACCTCGCCATTTGGTGCTATTAGTGAAGCCTGTAAAATATTTTTTGTTCTCAAAACAAGTATAAGTAGTTTGTTCTGCGTTATTAATACATTTGTTGGTTTAAAAACTCAAATCTTTTTTCAAAGAAAGATGACAATCAGTAGTAAGTCCTAATTTTCTTCTTTCGTTTTTCGAAAATCGATTTTGATTACAGTTTTCTTTCAAGAATCTTGCAAGTCATACATATTGTACAATTCAATCGAGCATAAAAAATTTTTTTTATAAAAAAATAAGTGCGCATTTGACCTCCATCTCACCTGATAGAGAGTGACGATGAGGTCAAAATGTAGCATGCACACCTAAATAATGCCCATTCACTCTCGCCTTGAAAAGGTCCAAGTTATAGCGTTCGGGGAACAAGTCTGCAGGCTGGAAATTCCACTCCCTAGCCGCTCGCCATTCTATTGATAATAGATAATGTAAACATTTTATGAATATCCCACCTTAAAAGTGTACAAATAACCAGGTTCAGAATGCATTAGATATGGCCACCAGAATTTAGCGTTGCCGATTTCCAGCAATCCTGCACAGTCTTGCAGCGCCGCGACTTGTGTGTTAGTTTTATCTATCAGCTGAACTAAACATTCCACATTGACTGGTGAGGTGCCTTTATATGTTATGTTGTATACTACGAAGCCTGAAAAAGAGACAGTTATTTTAGAGATTTCACAGATTGGGGGCAGTCGCGCGTTTCGAGTTTTTCGCGTTTATGGTTTGTATTCTTTGTTGTGTTACACAAAGAAAGTGATCTGACTGGGTCGGTCAATGTACAGGACTTTTTATGTAATAGTGAATGCGAAAACTTTTGAACCTGTTAACTGATCAAATATTCACTTCTGTGAAAGATTTTGAAACTGAGACGTTGGCAATTTAGCTACCTCTGTGGCCGAACGCCTACCATGCATGGACTGCCACGCAGAGGTCCGGGGTTCGATTCCCGGGCCAGGAGAAATATTTGCATGGCTTACATTTATTTGTCTCGTGAGTTTGGGTATAATTTGTGGTTGTCTATGTGTGTGTCCATGGTTTCCCTTCCTTCCCTGGTTTCCCTAGTGCGGGGCTATGAGTGTGTGCGTTAAGTGGTCGATAACTTGAGAAATTTCCTAGTCCGAGGCCAGGTTTGCCTGGCACATTATTATTATAAATAATATTAATATGTAGTGGAAATAACTGAATGCTTACCCGTGAGTCCTTGTATGTCAGTGTTAACAATAACGTCATCGATGTAGAGTTTTGGCGTGGAGTAAAGGAATACTGATCGGTGAATGCCAGCGTAATTAAAGAAGTCAAACGTGTACGTTTGCTCTTGACGAATTTTCATATTGCTGAAAGAAAGAACAGGGGATTTTATAAACTGTCAAACAAGATTTACTCGTCACGTGTCCTAGGTATCCTCTAAACTTTTATAAATTTTTGTGAAATTTAATTAAAAATTAAATTAATTTTTGCAATTTTTATACAACTCTTTAATTTTTTTTTAATGTTGGTTGAAAACACAGCTGCACGGTAGAGACACATTAAGTAGCGGTAAAGCTTCTTGTGAATGAGATCGTACAGGGAAGTGCTCCCACCTTACCTATTATTGCCGCCAAGCAGTAATGTGAGCATTACTGTGTTACGGTTTGGAAGAGTAAGGGTGCTGGTGAAATTATATCCACATGGGATTTGATGATGAGATTTGTGATTTAAAGTACCGAGTAGCACTGAACTGTTGTTAGGCGAGTCGCTTACCACCAGACGCACGGCTTACTAGCCCCGTCACTTGGTATTATAAAAAACACCGTGTGACTTAGGATACTGCAATACCTAAATTGACGACAACCGATGGACGGGATAAAACACAAAGGAAAATGACACAAAAGAAAATTTTATTCAATTCAAAATACACAACAAAAATTAAGTCGCAAGGTCTCTACAAACAAAAATGTCGAATTAAACATTCATTGTATTACTCTATTTCGGTTTATTCTGGGAAGCTTACGTTCACGATTTCTCGTAAAACATTCCAATTTAGCTGTTATAAACAAATGTAATATAATCGAATTCATTGCACGACTGGGTACGTAACGTAGTCGGCATTTGCTTACTCAAACCCGTAGGAACAACGAATGTGTACTTTTTTTAATTATTTATATGATTTAGGTTATATAATTTCGTGTGAAATGTCCAGGTTTTCGATTGAATTGTGCGTCACAACTTAGTTATGTTTGTACTTAATAATCGTATGAGTTTATTTATATTCATGCATATTAGTACCGAATATCTAAGTAATAATTAGTACAAACTGTTCGCTACCTTTGTTCCATCATTTTTAAATGCTTCTAAGACATAAAAAAGCTTATATAGCTTTAATATATAGGTTGAAAGAAAATAGTTTTCGAATTTAACTGCTTCTGAGACTGCCACGCAGAGGTCCCGGGTTCGATTCCAAGGCCGAGAGAAATATTTTTTATGGTATGGTTGTCAATATACCGTCAAGCGCACAACGTGTTCGTCCCGTCATTTAATATTATATAAAAAAATTTTGACACTTTAGTAATTTATATAACAACGCAATCGTGTTGTAAACAAAATTCTCATCACAGTTATTTAACAATACGTAGTAAGGTGTAGTAATATTTACTATGATATTTGTGATAGAGTGATGAAATTTTTAATTATGGGAAACGGTTGCAAAGATCTGGGAGCCTAGGGCATGACGTGTCGGTAATCTACTGTTGACATTGTATTGAGTAACTTCTTTTGTTGCAGCGTGAACTAGTTGCTATTGATCTCACATACGAGTTAAAACAAGACTTCTTATAAAGTAAAATATTGTCTACTTTTATAATATTGTTCAAAGTAAAGCCTAAGGCTTTACTACAGTAACGATGTTACTGCAGTTATGGTTTTTACATTTAAGCCTATCGATCGAATAAACACAAAGAAAAACTACTTCGTTCCGGTTGGACTCGAACCAGCGACCTTGCCACACCGGGTTATCGTTGGCAGAGCGAGAGTAGTGTATTTTTAACAAACTTCAATAAAAGGAGGAGGTTCTCAATTAGATTTTTTTATACGTTTGTATGCGATAACTTGTATGTATGAATCGATTTTGATGATTCTTTTATTGTTGGAAAGAGTGTCCCAGTAGAGGTCCCATTTAAATTTGAAGAAAATATTCCACAACCTTGCAAACTAGGGGACGAACGATTTTTGAGGTCGTTTTTTTAGTACTCTGTGCTAAGATTATGTATGTGATGTATAATATATACACAATACAATATATACACACAACATCATGATATTCAATAAAATATCTATTTGTCAACTTCAGAAAAGTGTAATTAATATGTATTAATTCAGATTTTTTTGAGAAATAACTCCACTAGTTTTGTAGACGTAGGTTCAAGTCCTACCGGGTCGACGAAAAAAAAAATTGTTCTGTGTGTTCGATCTTTGTATTCATAATCATAATATTTATTATATATATATTCATAGAATAATACTTACTTAGCAAAAATATCTCTCACACTGCCCTGTGGAATGGTGTCACCGAGAAGTGTGTTGTCCACCGCCACAGTAAGAAGATTGCTGGTGTTGTAGAACACCCTATCGGTAATTTCTGCTTCGAACGGAAGATGCCCGATCTCGTGGAACATCACTTGCTTGCCGTTCACCCACTGAAATTTTTTAAAATTGTTTCATCACTAAACTATAACATCCCAAGCATATTTTAAAATGGTTCTAAATCTAATGGTTCTAAACGTAATTAGTCAGGGCTAAGGCCTTGTGAAATGCAAAATAAATTTCAGACATTTTTACCACGGAGTTAGTAGTTTTTAAACAATATCAAAATTATTATATATTAGAGATTCAGTGGTACGTACGAAATGAATAAAATGTCGACATGGTTCAAAAGTGTAACAAAATATTTATCTTATATATTTCTTTAACGAGGCGTTTAGTAAAGATTGCCTCTTAAAAATATTTTATTCTTTTATAGGTACATATACATATACATTTCATGATATGATACCTAATTATATAACTGAAATATAGTTACAAAGTGATATTCAAAACTTGGCACTCGCGATAAATCAAAAAGGTATCAATATATAAATAAGCGCACACGTCTACAAAGCATAATTTCTCCCCATAAAAAGTAACCTAAACTTTGTACAACCTAAAAGATTGTGAAATTATCGTAAAACAATATCGTCTACAAAGTGTTATCGTAAAAGCTACATTGAGTCACACCTTTACACGGTTTTTATCTATCAGCTACAATATTTACAAACTGTTTAATGCTGAGACACAGTAGGTTATCTACAAGTCCAACTGTGAATGACGTTGCTTATTATGTGATAAACTTAATTTACATTCACACCTATTGTTAAAATAGATTTCGCTATATATTTGCTATTGAAATAAAAATATATAAAACATTATGTATGAGTATTATGGGAAGTAGGAAACACTACTATAGAAAACAAATACTAAATTAATGGGGTATTTAATTTAGCTTGCATGGTGAAATTAAAGAACGTGCTTTGTTAGGAATTCCACGTCCTCGTAGTATGAGGAAAGATGTATACACAAGATATAAAGGAAGCGATTTATGTAACGTTAGGAATTAATAAAACATAAAGCTGTTCCAGCAGCACTGATGAACTACAATGACCAAAAAACTTAGGGTTACGGAAATTATATGTAGTCATTTTAATTTACGTAATTTTCAATGTACAAAAAATATTCTTTATAATTTCAAGGGCAGCGGTCAGTCCATCAATCAAGTAGGTAAACCTTGTAAACATGGAAGTTTGTAAATAAAAATAGTTTCGCGATAAAATCCAAAGTGACGTACGCTATGAATATTCATGAAGCTTTTTGTTTGATCGACTTAGAGCTTGAGTAATGGTATCGCGTGTTACATCGGAAGTAAATAGCAGATTTCGTCAGACCTCGTTTCTTTTAGTTAACAACCTGCCAGCTAACATTTTATTTTGCCTGCTAGCTTTTTGTGTAAGATTTTATGGAAAACACAACGAAGTAATACGTAAGATGTGATATTGGAAGACTAATATCACACAAATATGTCACTCATCAGCAAATTATGTAGCAGTTTATAAATCAAGAGTATCCTATTTGCATATTATGATAAACCTGCAAGTAGGCGGTTGGTTTAAACAGTTGCGCTGTGTCTGATCACATCTCGAATACCATTTATTGAAGATTGCGCTCTGGTGGCTTTACGACAGATTCTTGTGCCAAACTATAATTATAGTAAAGTCTTAAAGGTACTTTGATCGCGAATAAAACATGGGTATACTTTATACATTGACGTATTTTAAAAATTACAATTATAAAATTATGTAGGCTTAGTTGGTATAGCGTCTGGCACGGTATGCAAGAAGACGTCGGTTCGAATCCGACCGGATCGAAGGAATTTTTTCTGAGTGTTTTTTCTGAGTGTTCGATCTTTGTATTAATAATTATAACAAACTAGTGGAGTAATTTCACAAAAAATAATTGAATATCAACTCAATAAAAATTTAATTAAAAAATTATGTATTTTAATTTTATTTTAGTTTTTATATTTAATTGATTTTATATTTTTTTATCATTTATATTAGAGTTGTAACAAACCTACTTTATGTAATAGACGGCCTTAAGCCAGATTGTTCACTTTTAGTTCTCTAAGAATCCGCTAGATGGCATTGACCCATTTGGCGTTATTTCTGAATCGCGGTGTTAAAATTTTCCCTCGAATGGTGACTACTCGAACACAAGTTTATTAAGAAATCTGACAATACAGAAAGCTTAGTAAGGCAACCAGGAGTTGAGTCCCTTCTTGGGAACTGCTACCCGGAACTTCTGATATTTCTTACGCGCTCATAGGGTGAAAGATTGTTGCCCATCATATAGGGCGTCCCTTCTGGGAACAACTGCCCGGACCTTCCGCATATAGGGTGAAATTGTATTGGCGACGTACATGGTGAAAATAAAATATTCTGAACCATTTGGAGTTTCACTTGGCTTCCTTTGGTAACCTCATCCAACGGAAGAAAGAACCTCCCTACTTTACAGAGTTTGTTTTGATATTTTAATTTTTTATTGAATTTTATAAATTGATTCTATTTATATTTTAAGTTTTAATTGAATTTTATAAATTGATTCAATTTAATGGTTACCCGAAATAAATTTATTTCATGTTTATTTTATTTAATTTGTATGATAGTGTTTTAAATTTTTATTGAATTGATATTCAATTATTTTTTCATGAAATTACTAAACTAGTTATAATTATTAATACAAAGATCGAACAATCAGAAAAAATTCCTTCGATCCGGCCAGATTTTAACCGACTTCTTCTAGCATACCGTGCCAGACGCTATACCAACTAAGCCACGGAACGAACCAGCGGACCTGACGAATTTTTCTATGTGCTTATTGTCGTGTCTTTGTATTTGGTTTGTATGATAGTGTTTCAAAGAACATAATCATCTTATAATTTATATTTTTGATTAGCTCTTACTTAATTTTATAATTTGATTGTTTGTTTTATGATTTAAATCGAAAAATAAAAATAAAAATTAATGTGGGAATATGTCTCACGCTCCTATAAGGAAGCTGATTGAGTAATGTCGCTGGTTAGGCGAGGTCAGTGATTCTTGCCCCGAGCAACTCCAACGTAATTGTATGATGACCGCACAGGCATTCGGCCGACTAATGACAGACCTAGTAAGATGCTCGCTTTATGCCCGTTACGTGGTTTCCTTTGTTTCGCTTTCTTAAGGCCCATTTAGATGGAGAGAGTTTCACGTCTTGAAGATATGATTATCGAAAGAATATAAAAAACTTTCCTCGTCTAAACATCTCATCTCATCCGTTTCTACCACGAGTGCAGTGCGCGAGGGTGTTTTGATTATCACTGCTTTTCTAAGACAAGAATTAATGAAACGAGAACGAAAAAAAATTTGGATTAAGAAATGTTATAAAATTTGAAGAAAAAAAAATGTATATTTCTCTACAATGCAATGAACTTAATATTATCAGCAATTCCAAATTTGAATTATTTTTGCGTCATTTCGATATGTCCATAGTCAATACCGCAGTAATCACTGAACTCGAATGGCGATTCTCGCACTCAAAACGATTCGAACCGATTTGTACGATAATCGTATGAACTTGAAAAAACGTCATACGAGATCGTGTTTAGACAAGTCGAAAACTCGTAAGCAAGAATCTCCTTACTACATATTTCTCTGTGTAAACAGTCGAGGAGGCGATTAAGTTGCTTGCGAATCTCGTATGACATAATCGTAGGCGAGATTTTAGTTCTTGCCTGAATGCAAACATTGTGATACGACAATCTTATGGCGATTATTGCTTACGATAATCGCGTACGAGTTTTCGTCACGAAGCGTGCGAGAAACTCTCTCCATTTAAATGGGCCTTTAATCGTTATAATTTGCCAACGCACGACAAATTAAGACCATTTGCCATCGTACGCCTTTACTTCTAAAGAATCTAAGCGAGCAAAGTTATGGATAGAACCCTTAATGCTTAAAAGTACGAGAAAACAGGCTTTCATAAGGCCGACTCTTTCCATTTTGTCTTTTCAATGAATGAATGAATTAATTTATTGACATAATTAATTCTTATATACTTAAAAAAGTACTCATCAATCAAGGGGCAAAAGCACCTTGATTGATGAGTGCGTCTCTAAGGTTTCGCATTTGTAGCTCTAATTAATTTAGTTTTTCTCGTAAGTTTTATTTCTTTGTTCTTTTACTTAACATATCGTATTGCAAATGACTAAAATCCTTAGTGCAAATCAGTGCAGGGTGCGACGCGATTGTCGTAGTCCGGTGTGGTTTGACAAATTGTTCAATTACTTGGAATTGCCTAGCGACAGAGCGAGACACGAGACACCTCTGGCTGTGGCTGTATGACGCCCTTCGTGTCGCGATCCCACTCTGAGGCCATCCCGATTTCACCGATTGATCTCATTAGATCAGGGACATCTGGGTCATTGCGAACATTGGCTGGCCTCAAGATACGATACGGAGAATTTGTTAATACGGGTTGGTAATACACCTTCTTTTTCACTTGCTTACTTAACTCTAATCATCTTATTGTTGGCATTCTCAAACCCACTGTATCCGGAATCTCGTTGATAAGACTGAGTCGGCATTAATTTTTTACACATATTTAATACACGGAATCTTTTTAAGATTTTATCATGTACCTGCGTTTAAGTTTACAGTGTTATGCAAACTATTTTAAACTGTTTTTTCAGGTTGATTATATCGTTATGTCCGGCAGCTAAATTAACAATTAAGTAAGCGTTGGTCTAAAAAAGTTCTAAGAAAAACTAGAACTGTATGGTGCCAAGCCATGTATTACAAATACAATTATTATACAGGTTAATTACATAATGTATTAACGGCCACTTAGTCTTAAATCATGTTAATAAGTTTTGTCTCAATTTATTACAATTTAATTGTGACGTAATTTAGGGTACATTTATATTTATCAACTTAGGTACATGGATCAAATTCAAAGTCAAGTGGATCTTTATTTCATGGGTAAGCAATATGACGATTAAACACTGCTTCTCATTCGTAAGGCAAATTCTCCTGAGAAGAATAATTAACAAACTCTAGGGGTTATACTTTTTGTTTATTGACGATTGGTCTTTGTAAATAGACATTATGATCACAATGACACATCTTTTACTTTCTTTATTCTTATTTTTTTTATATATTTCAAATATCCTAAGTTGAAACAATCGGAAAGAATTAAACGGCTTACTGCCGTATATTGTTGGCATCCAAGTACGCGGAAGCTGTACAATAACTTAAACGTCACATATGGCAAATTTTGAATATATTAAAGAAACGTGTACCATTGAATGAACCCTTAAATGAAGTTTTACATAGTCCTTCGTATCGATTTCGATAACAGCGACCCTTTGATATTAGTTCCTAGCGTTTGCCCTAATATGACTCGCCACACCGAATTTTGTCTTAAAATCCTGATCACAAACAGAGCAATAAAGTTGGCCTACAGAGTAGAAACTATAGGAGGGCTTAGGTCTCTCTCTACGTATTTGTCGTTTCTCGTTTAATGTTTTCAGTCGCTTTTGTTCGAATGTTTCACATTTTATCTTCTTCTTCTTGTCTCACTCTTGACAGAGTGGTCGTGGTCATCACGGAGTACGTGTGTTAACGGCTGATGTGGCTAACCTCACAACATCTCGCCATCTTTCTCTGTTGGTGGACTCCCTTGCGCACTCCCTTGCGCGACCGCCCACTGCAGATTCTACTTGATCGGTCCATTGAATGGGTGACTTTCCGCGCAGTCTAGTGCTCTCCACTGTGCCTTGTACAACAAGACGCTCTATGGAGTTAAAAATCCGTCTTGAGACATGACCGAAGAATTTTAGGATGAGAGTTTGCACCACAGTAGACAGACGCTGCTTGATGCAGAGTTCTTGGAGTATGGAGGCGCTTGAACGAAAGTCTGTACATTTTTATAGATATAGATATATCACCAAGACGACCTATGTGAAGCGAGCCTCTCCAAACCTGTATGGCACATCCTTATGGCGAAGAGGTTGATCACCATGCTGTCGTTTACCTTCCGTCATCTCGGAGTAGAAGACAACTTAAGGCAAACGGTGGTCCTCTATGGGAAAGACGTGTCCGCAGCAACTGAGTTGACATTGCATTAGTAAAGCTTCCAAAATGAACTTTTAAGATGACTGTAAAGAACAGCCTATTTATTTTGTACCTCACTATTCCGCATGAAAGATATGTATTATTCATTTCTATGCGTTTCGGTGCATGGTTGTCATAGCCGGTCGTCATAGATGAAAAATTGTAATATATAAAGATGTTATGAACTCTGTCTTTACTGTTCACTTCAAATTTTCCGTATGACAAGTTTTACTTTTCAGGATCTATAGTGCATTATGTACATATACAGGGTTACAGGAAAAGTCGTGCTAGATCCGTTAAGGGCGTGGAGTACTCATCATTTCTGACTTATTTTACTATGAAACACCCTACCCTAAACTTAACCCTTTTCGAGATATTTGACTTTTATTTTTTTTATTCAAAATTGCCGATTTTTAGGCTACTAAATTTAATTTTGTTTATTTTGTGTGTCTTATTATTATAATTATTGCATTTTTACATGTGTGATAAGATGCTTTAGGACCTCAATCATTAAAATAGTGAATAAGTTAATTCAATACGCCGTAGTAGAAAAGAGAAAGTTAAGAAATTAAAAAAAAATTAGAAAGTTTATTTTTCTCTAAGGGATATCTAAAAAAAATATTATGGCAGTTGATCGGCAGATAAGTTATAAAATATCTACGTTTCATCAGCTATCTAACAAGGTATAACAATCTAGGGTTTTATTTAAATGCATTGAAAAAACTTAGTTTCATAGGCGATAGTGGAGGAGAAAATTAGTACTTAGCCCTAAAAAGTATAACAAAACAATAGGTAAGCATGCAAAGTATTTATGAAATCAGGTTTTCACACAACTTTTTGTTATTCTACAGTTCATGTTCAACATGGCCGCCTCTGTTTTGCCTCTGTCGCGGAATATTACATTAGCAAAAAATCATGTTCACATAATATTGTGTTCGACTTTTTCACAAGTCATATTTTTTTAATTAAAAAAAAATTCATTATATACACATTTTATGAGTAGTCAGAAACTACCTTTTGTTTTAAGAAATTCAGAACTACCTGAGGCGTGAAAGTGCAAAATCGACTCGAAATTTTCTTCAATAATGCTGAAGGTAAATTTTTGTAAGCACTAAATTGCTTTTTAAATTGATCTTCTTCCTTTTACAGTATGTTGCTATCGTTACAACTAATTTAATTAATAAGCGTGTACTTCTATAGGCATTGGTGGTACATAGCCTTGTAACATTTTCTACTGCCATGGTTCTTTTATTTGTTGGTTATGCATCGTTGCAAATGGTATATAAAGTAGAACAATTGAGAAACTTACTTTGGGAATAAGTGAGTGCCACTGTTTCAAAGAATGAAACAATAATAAAAAACAGTAAAGATCAATTTTTGTTACTGCCTTTAAAGATTTTGAGGAAAACTAAAGAGAGATATTTTTGTTGTATATATATTTTATGTTATATGTATATTGACCCATATTTATAGCTACTTACATTTCTATAATTGAAAAAAAATCTTTGGTAGCTGTACCTATATCATAATTAACCTAATCTACATTTTCAGCCATATCTACAACCGGTTTATAACCGGTTTTTATCTTATTTGCTTTCAGTTTTATTATTAAGCACAAACGGCGTAAATGACAGTTATCAAAGAAAAGAAAAACTTTAGGTGCTGATATTTCAAAAGTTCCCAAAATGCAAATAGGTACGTTAGTTTAGTCAAGGAGGGCATTATAGAAATTCAGATGAACAGGAATTAGCAAAGAAGTAAATAAGTTACGATCTGTTGATATACTCACCACTTGGGCAGCATAGTGTACGCTACTGAATCTCAACCAGACTCGCTGTTCTCCCTTGATCCACCATGGCGGCACGTGAAAGCGACGATCGTACCACACTATGCCTACATGGTCGCGTAAATCTGCGTCTACCCCTACGTCATTGTAAGACGCAGGTACAGGCATTGGTATCACAGGACCCGTCTGTAAACATTTATACTCGTTAAAATGTTAATGCTTGAATACGTTATGAAACATAGGTAGTTAAAAAACTAGAGATGTGCATCACGTCGATTTCTCTCAAGTGATACGGTTGTATGATAAGTGCAAAAAGGAAAACGGTACGCTAACAAAATTAATATTTAATAGACAAATCTTTACAGAACTGTTGTTAAATTGTCATGATGATATTTGGTCGCCTTACTTTCTCAAACTCGTATCTTTAAGCACTAAGTTACTGAAATGCAAAAAATGGATTGTAGCTAAATACAAATTTTGCAGGCTCATTTCACATTACATTTCCTTCATATTCACACACTGGTTTTTACCTATTCTTAAAGTAATGCATCCAAATTAACACCCTTGATAAGAAATTTAAAATAAATTGAAAGTTTTGCCATCTCCTAAATAATTACCCTTTATAAGATACGAGTTTGAGAAAGTAAGGCATCGATTTATTAGATTACATACAGAGGATATTTAAGCTTAGACATCACTAGGTTTCAAAACTAATATAATCTATTGACTTTGTTTCAATGTTAGGTATCATAAAATACTAATACACATTTTTGATAACGAACATTCAAAATAAAGAACCCATTCTCCACCAAAGCGAAGAAGAAATTTGTTTGAGAAAGAAATATAGATGTTGTTCTATTTAAGAGATGTCCAAATAAACAAATTTAATAAAAGTAGGTGAGGTACATAAGACCCAGGCGGAAACAAGCCTCAGTATTGAAAAATATTACTTAGAATAGTGTAATTCGTACAGCTGTTCAGGCACCCACACAAATAACAAAATATGCAACGAGCTGGCAAAGCTGTTTCGGGTTGCGTGCATAAGTATTTAGTCAGAAGTGTCCAAAAAGTATGTACGCACGTTGTGACTGCGTTGCGTATTATTTTTTTGTCACAAGTAATCAGTTTTTAGTCCGTTTGTTCTGTGTTTTATGCTGATGTGATCAGAAAATATCAATCAAAGATAGGTATATAACGGAAACGTAAGAATGTAATTATATGTTAATTTTTACATTAAATATGTTCGTTATTTGAAAATTTTACTACAGCTTATAAGCTGTATATGTAGTAGCAGCGGGCCTCATAAGGCCCGCTGCGTCGGTTACAAGGCCCTTATTTAAGGTATTATGAGATTTATGGCTTACTTTAAAAAAAAACTACAGATTTCAGTACTATTAATTACTTTATTTCATTATTTTCTTTTCTTTCTTTACCAGTAAAAAAAGAGCGGAACCTTTATTTAGTCCGAGAGGTTGCAGCAATAAATATGAACAATTTTACTTATTTTTTGGTATTTTAACCTTATGTCGTTAGAGCTGTAACCAACGAATGTTTTATATTGATCTTAGCTTCCTATCAGTAAAATGGAATATTTCTCACAGTTTTTCTAAAAAGTAAGTACATTCTTCTGTTGTGAAGATAATAAACGTAATTTTATGTATAAGTTGAAAACTTTATAAACCTGTTATCTCAGAATGGTTATTTGTTTTGCGAGTTTTAATCTCATATTATTTAATAAGGCCCAAAAATGGAACTTTTATAAAATATTGATTATTGTTCGTTCAATGTGTGTTCAATGTTTTCGTAATATTTTTTTAGTTTATATAATTGTGAAGATACCTAAATAAAAGAGGCTTCAAGTTTTCCTTAACAGCCTCGTTGTGTGTAAAAATATTTTATAGTTGTTTCATTAGATCTAAACTTTCCCTTGCTTTGGTAGGGAATTGCGGGCCAAATTAAGAATGTGAAAAAGGGTGCCGGATATTGATGTTTATACTGACGAGAACAGTGTAAATGCAAATACAAACTGTATGATGTCTACATTGTAGCTAAAACGGAAATTTAAGCATTGCGATTTCTAGTAAACAAACAACTTTAAAATGATAACAACAGATTGCTAAAATTTAAACCTCATGAAGATCGTTTTGAAACCATTTCTGAACGAAGCCTTTGTCTTGGGCCATTTCGTTGAGCAAGTCTGATGGTTTCATTTCTGGTGTCCGGAAGAGCCATTCGAAGAGACCCCCATCAGCACCAGCAATCTCCAAGAAAATTATGTAAATTGTGAAGTACTCATAGAACACCTATATTCTTTGAATGACCTCTAACATCAATTGAAATACGAAAAGTAATCTAGAAATAGCTGAAATATCTACTTCAAATACCCACCCAATTCTTTTTCAAACTACGTATAAGAAGTCCTAGCATGTCAAGGAAAAATATCAATTTAAAAATAATAAAATATACCTTCTCAAGGTCCTTTTCATACCAGCCGTGTTTGTATCCAAATTCAGGATCTACGGGAGATTTTCTGAAATTCCATACTCCATCTAATACTCTCAAATCTCTAGTTTCTGTAACTTGAGGGTACAGCGCTCCGCCAATGCCCGTCGCCTGTTTTTTGTTAAGCTGATTTATCTCGTTGGCAGTAGTGGACCCAGGGACAACGGCTTTTGCTAAGGTAAGTACTGTAAAAAACAGCAGTGCTGATACTGTTTTCCCCATTGTCTGAAACAATTTTTAGGTTAAAATAAGAATCACAAAGATTCAAGGAGTACTGTCACTGCGTCACCAGTCACTCCGAGATATAAGTTGACAAACCACATATGCGTGTAAATTCACCAGTACCCTTGCCCTTCAAAACCGAAATGCAGTAATGCGGCAGAAATAGGCAAGGGGCAGTACTTCTTTGGACGAACTCTTTCAGGAGTTCTACTGCTACTGTAGTTAGTTAGTGTTAATTGAACTAAAAATAGACAAAGTACCTAATCACTAATAAGTTCAACTACAACTGAAAGCCTGACTTAAAATTATGTTCATCAAACGGAAGACAAAAAAGGGCGTCAACCGCGAAGGCGTCAAGTAGCGTCTAGATCCCCACAGATGTTATTACGTATGTGAAGCTAAATAAAATCCAGTAAAAGTAAAACAGGCAGCGAGACGTGGAACACTCGTTGCTCAATCACTCAATTACTGATAGGAAAGTGACGCTTGCGGAACTAATTACGCACTAGACCTTTGCTGGAAATGTCAATAGACTATTGTTACTTTCTTTGGCGACTTTCTCAGACTTCCTGTAGTATTAAGTAAATCTTACGTTTACGACTCAATGCATTATTAGGCGGAGGCAAGAAGTCGCTCGCTGATAAATTGACAAAAGTATTTTCACCTACCTACTCCAATTAAAATCACGTTATTTAATTTAAAAATAAGTCTCCTAAACAACTAATTACGATTACACAGAGTCCTATTTCGACATACTTAGCTACCACATCAGATTCATAACAAATATTTTTACCTTCAAATACTTTTTATATTTTTAGAACATTTTTCTCCAAAATGTCAAGTGTATGTGACATGTAGAAAAATATAATTGCCAGGTTTCTGTCACATAGTTGTAATTAATTGGAAAAAGAATAATTTAGTAGCAGTACAGCTCCTTGCGAAAGAGCTCTTCCAGGGAAGTACTATACCACCTTACCTATTTCTGCTGCCAAACGGTAATGTTCACATTACTGTGTTCCGGTTTTGAAGAGTACTGGTGAAATTAGAGACACATGGGACTTGTTAACTTCTGTCTCATGTTAACAGGCGCAGAGGCAGTGCTCTTCAAATCTTTGCGATTTAAAGCTCTGAGTGGCACTGCAACTGTTATAAAAATTAAATAATTGAAAAGTTGGACTATTAAATTTTTTTTATGTAACTACATGTCACAATACAATTTCCTAGCTTCTAGTTGTACGAGAATTACGGGTCGAAGTGACATTCAATTAAAGAACGAAAGATTTAATTATATAGATAACAGATTTGTTCATCTAACATTTGTGACGGGAAGCTTGAATCATTCGATTTCTATCTTCGGCATGAGACACGAGGACTGCGGTTGATTAGATCAAATTTCAATTTCACCGTATTAACTTATCGACTGTTATACACACTACCAATCGATACGACATAACGAAAGGACGAATATTAAACAACCGCCAACCATATAGAGAACGCCATATATAAGAACAGATTAAAACCTGTTTTCATATACATGTTAAAATATTACATGATCAAAATGTGCCAGTCCACCCACGTAAGTGGAAATATTCTAGTTGTATTGTATATAATTTCCTATTGTTTTGCAAATTGAATTCTATAGTTTCGATGCACTGCCAGGTGATTGATCTTCTAGTTTATCGTCTAATAAAAGAGAGGGAATTACTTTTGAGTTATTAAAGAACTGAAACACATTTCATCAACCATTGAAAGACGGAGGATAATGAGTATCAAAGCAAACAAATTTTGATATTCTAACAAAAACTATACTATTATCCTTCTAAACATTCAACTATGCATCATTCCATACGAAAAAGAACTGATCGTTAATTTGTAAGAGAAGTATTTATAATTGCGAATTGTGTAGTAAGTTTTTTTCAAAAAAAAAAAAAAATATGTGAAATTGATGAATAATATGAAAATATCCTTTTTTTTTTTGGAAAAAAACTGGTTTTATATTGTTATGTTACTGTTGTAAATTTTAAGGAAAAAATCTCAACATAAATGTCTACTGACATCGGTATTTGGAGGTTGTAAACATACACGTGTGTAACTTGACTGGTTATTCGTGCTAATTGTTATAAAAATGTGGAGCGTAAAGCAGTAAAACAGTGTAACAGTATTACAACAAAGATGGGCACGCATAATAATCATGTAAATTACATGCATTGATGCGTTCATGTTACAACACGGTGGCTTTCTACCTGACATAAACATAGCTGATCAGAATTCTGTGTTAGATTCCTTGCACCACCATTGTGGAATTAGGATTACAAATGTGGTGAGTATTTAACATTCATTGCCTTTTGTTGTGAGACAGATCTTCCGTTTGAGGTTATTGGGCTTTTCGAGTTTTGGTATCGGAACCAGATCAATAATGTTAGGTGGGCTGGATCGCTGTCGGAATCACACACGTTGAGGTAAGGGGTGCTGCACGGTGTCTCACTTCGCCCAAACTCTTCAACTTGTATGTGAATGCATTGATTGGTACATGATATCAGATATGCTGATGATACGGTGCTGCTGAGCCCAACAATTTATGCTCTCCGAGAGCTACTTAGAATCTGTGAGAAATATGTCGTTACTCAGGTATAATACAAAAACAAGTGAGCTGCTGATGTTTAAGCCGTGTATAAGCCGTTTAGGCGGGGTGGAGAAATTGGCATTGTACCGCCGGTCTCCCATTGTGGCAGTGACCTCGCTAGAGTTTTCAAAATGAAATAAATACCTGGGTCACTGGGTGACAGATGATCGGTCCAATTTTGGTAGACATATAGAGAGAACGGAGAGCGCTTGCGGTAAGAGCGAATATGCTTGCTCGGAGGTTTGCTCGTCGCGTTGTAGAAAGGAAATCAAATTAACGCTTTTTAAAGCATTCTGGCAAACCTTCTACACGTGTAGCCATTGGGTGAAGTCTGCTAAGGTGACCCTAAACACTCTGAAGGTACAGTACAAGAAGGCGCTCAGGATGTTTGTTGGGGTTACCGCGACACTGTTGCGCTTCATGCATGTTCGCTGAGGTATGCATAGACGGCTTTCATGTCATTCTGGTGATGCGGGTAGCCATTAGTGACGTGTGCATGTGGCATGGGACCCCAACAGCTTCTGATTGTTGTAACGAAAAAAAAAGACTGTTCCATCCAGGCTCATTGGATGCAGCTTTATGTGGCGGTTTAGATTAAGTTCTATAATTTGCATGCCAAATTTAATTTTACTTCTGTTTGGTTTTTTTTTGTTTTTTTTTTATTTTTGACAATTGGTTATTTTTATATTTAATGCGTACAAAACATATTGAAAAAAATGACTTACAAATAAGACTGCTAAAGAAAATTGTAACCTTGAAAGTGAAATGCAAATATAAAGATAATTATGATAAACTGTTCTAATACTGTAAGCTTTTAAATGTTTATGACAAAGTAAATTTAGCCATTGTATCTGAGTACCAAGAAGAAGTACCATTTTTTAGAGAAGGAAAAAAGACTCAAGACTAAGAATATTGCATAGCGATCGTACATTAAGACTTCCAAATTATAACAATGTATACGTATGGTAGGAGAATATGGTCATTGGTACTTCCATATGTATTAAACAGGGTACCAAAGAAGTTAGTACAAATATTAGAATCAACAGATAAAAGGATCTATACCAGATTGATCACACGACACTTGGCTAGGGAGTAATATTATATAAGAGCTGTGTAAGTAAATATACTAGATTTTGAACTAAGTAATAATGTTAAGATGTCGCTGTGGTTGGAAGTTACTAAGGTACATAATTTTAGAACATAAACATTTTAGCTTTAGTAATGTGAAGTACCTTTTGCAATTTTTTGAAATAAACAGTTTAATTTTTTTAAATGCAATTTTGTCAAATTCTAATACAATAAAAATGAGATTTCTTTTGTTTTCCTTTAAGTTATTTATTTTTGTTACAATTTTAATGTTATTTAATATTAGTTAAAATTAAAAACTTATTTCAAAAACTTATTATTATCGATGTTATTGATTGGAATTTTTTAATTGTATTTGGGCAGATTCATCACGGAATGATAAACTGCTCGATTCGCTTTACCTGTTTTACTCGATGCTAATTTAATATAGGAGACAAATATGGTGACTGTGGTGATTTGTTACATGTTTTGCACCTAACCGGACACAGTCGAGATCTCTAACTTTAGACTGACTGACTTGATAAATGGTGTACTCAGTCATGTGCCATAAAGTATACACGTAGCACAATTCATAATTCGATTTTAGAATGAAGCAACAAGCAACTATTGAATCCAATAAACATTTTGCACGTATATGCTTCACGGGTAAATCATAAAATTTTAACAAACGTTTCTGGAAATTGTATTTTGATATTGAGAGTCGTTATTCATATGCGATGAAATTTTTTTTGTGCCTGGTCATGCCGGGTCGCACGGCAACCTCTGCAGAAAGGTTCAGTTACCCCACAAAAAAAAAAAATATTGACATGCCTCAGGTAATTATAGATCACACGATATCTCAATTATTTTAATATTGGGAAAACAAAAAAACTCAGAAGGTGCCATCAAGAGGTCAGCGCCTTTAATATGATGTAATCTTAATGTTAAAAAAGTTAGCAACAGTTACGTATATGTTGCGGTTCTGTTTCGGTTGCTGGGTTATTGGCCGATTAATTACAGTTAAATTGGTAATGATGCCTATGGTTATGATCTAACTTGGTACCTACCGTTAATAATGTTTTATTGTCATTTAATTTTATTTCAACCATTGGTAGCGATAAACAGGAAAATTATAACTACGGCAATACAAGTACCCAAGCATATTAGGGACGATCATAAACAAAATTATACCTAGAAATATTGCAAATAAAACCGCGTGTCAACGATGTAGAGATCAATTTGCAATGAATAATTTTGATACTTTGTACACATTTCCGTGTTCAGTATATTCGACGTACAGTCTCCCACTACACAT